CCTGCTGTCCCCTGTCCAGCTCCAGACTCTCAGCTGTCCAGCTCCTCTAGACTGGTCACTCTGTGTGACGGTCAGCTCCCTGCTGTCCCCTGTCCTCTGCTCCGGAGTGGACACTCGTAACTCGCCATCGGAGCCCTGCTGCCTGCACCAGGGCATGCTGGGACGGCGGCCCCCTGACCGAGGAGGAGGAGGAGGAGGGGTCAGAGTGCGGGCCGCAGCCTGGCTGCCCGGGTGCTGTTTAACTCCGCCGGGCCGCGTCCCGCCGGTCCCAAGCCCGGATGGAGGAGGAGGGAGGGCGGCAAAGGCGATGTAGCGGGAGAACGAGTGGAAGACGGGGGAGCGTTTGGGGGGCAGTGCGGCCCGCGATACACTCGCGCTGAGCGCCACTTCAGCCTTTTTATTGTCGATATTAGCCACTTGACTCCGGGGCTGTCGGACCCAGCGCTGTCCTGCAAGCACAGGATATTAAGGAACAACTAATAGGTTTATTCCTGCTCTCCACAGGGAAGGGCGGTGACGTCACCGCACCGTCGAGCCGGCTCGCATGACCTCTTATGTCACAAGAGATGGGTTTACTCCAGGCTGAAAAAAAGAAGAAAGAGAACACAACGTTTCGGATGTCGAACCTTCTTCACACCTCACACCTGAAGAAGGCTCCACGGCCGGAACGTTGTTTTCTTTTTTCAGCGTGGAATAAACCTATTGTTCCTTTACAGCCTACGCATGCTGACACAGCTCCCCACCTGAACTAGCACAGGATATTGCCGAGGAGAAAGGAAAGCCGTTGGGGATTTCCCAGTGAACCGGTCGCTCGCCCGCTGGCCCACGCCGATGGGTGCCTGCTGTTGCGCACTCTGCTGCTGCTGTTCTCGGGTGGTATGTTTTGGGTGCTTGCGGGAATCTCTTTGTATAGCAGCGCTCTACAAAAAAGCATTTCACGGCACTTGTGCCCACTACGCCAAAACACGAGTTCGTGCACCAGGGGCTGCTCCTGTTTCTGTCACAAACCCCTTTCTACTGCAATCAAAACAGTGAGGTTTGTCCTTCGATATCTGCTGGGGTGGAATAGGATTCGGGTATAAAAGTGCTTTGTTTTCTAAGGCGTCTGATTTTATGTTGAATAATCCCATTATTACACTTGTGTATGTATATACGGTATGTAACCAAATAAGCATTTCACTGCACTTGTGCAAATGACAAGAAACTGAACTCTGAACTCTGAACTCTGAACTCTGAACCCCGAACCCCGAACCCCGAACCCTGTGTACTTTAGTTTTATATTGTTCTGGGAGGTTTTTCCCCTCAGGGAATTGCTGGGATGGACGTTATCCTGTGTGCCGACTTAAACCGCCTTTCCTCTCCCAGGCAGTGTGCAATTAAAGGATCTTCCTTGCGAAGTGGCCCTCTGTGTGCGTTATTTCAGCCCGAGCCCTCGAGCCCCCAAGCGTGCGAGCTCCGCGGGTCGGAGGTCAAGCTGCAGGCTCTCGGTGATCGATCGATTCGGTCTGGGCATGTCTGGGCAAGCAGGAGTGTTGATGGGATTGATCTTCCTGCTGATCATTAGCATGCAGGGTTGGACTCTTTCCTCCCGAATCGTCGCAGTGGTGCTTTTCTGTAGTAATTAATAAGAATGATAATTAATGATAATTGGTGATAATGATAGGCCCCGCTGGTTTTTGAGTTTGGAACCCTGATAGACGAGTAGGAGTAACCTTTCGGAAAGAGAGGCACACTCAAACACCCGCACAGACGCTATACAGAACATGCAGACTCCACCCAGATGTTGCCCTTGTCGTTGTCTTTATTCCGCGCGGTGATCGTCACTCTGCTGATCCGCCTGAACTGAACTGGGCTTGAAGTCTCTGTTTCTCTGAGAACTGCCCCACCCCATCAAGAGCAACACTTTCAGAGACCTTGACTGGAGAGGAGTCATGCCAACACCTTTTACACTGTGTTTTTACTGCACTGTCC